AGGAAACACGTCTGTCAGTATTGTTCTCACAGACCTCTTAGATGCAAGGTGATATAATGATGACCAGAGTGCCCTGACTGGTAAATAATTTCTGTTTCAGGGAGCCCATTTCTTGAAAGCAAAGAACCCAAAAGTTCATGATGCTCACAAGAAATGAATAATAATTTATTACATATGGACATGTCTGTGCTCTGCAGTGTATAAGACATGGGATGAAATCCTGGACCTATTCAAGTTAATAAACAGAACTGTCACACTTTAAAAGGGTGTTAGCCTCTATAATTTGCTGCCTAAGAGCAGATATTGGACCCTGGAAAAGTTTAATTTGAACTTCAGATTAAAATCAGACTACATCAAACTAAAAACCTTTCACTGATTTTAGGACTCACTTGACTGAATTAAAGCAACTGCATTACAACACATCTCCAGAGATGTCAGTGAATAATATTTATTTAAGCAACGAATAAAAAGTAATAATAAAAAAGCCATGGCAAAACCACCCAGAAGCAGCAATAAAGCTCAGACAGACACAGGACAAACAACAAATGAGAAAAAGAAAAAGTAAAACAATTAAAAATCTTCAGGGAAATAGAAATTGAGTCTTCGCTTATAGGAGCTCATGATTAAAAAGCACACTGACAGTGCCCTTTAAGTGTACAAGCTTTCTATACTGAAGAATATAGTCTGGTTGAAATTAGTATAAATCTCACAGTGTATTAAACCATCAGAAGATGAGGGTAGCTATGGTAATTCTAGCACTTTATTAAACACCAGGCAAATTGAAGAGTACATTTCCTGCTTTTTGAAAGAAATGAATGATATCTTCTGATTGGGGAATGCTAAGGGCAAAGGAAGCTGGCTGAAATGGCTTAAACCAGTACCGCAGTACATTTATCAGGACATTTAGTGTGGCTTTTCACGGGAAAATGGTGGAAAGAGAAAGGGGGGGAGTGATTTTTATTGCTAAAATTAATTTTATTGCAGTGCTAACTAACCCTTTTCCCCCCTGGAATCACACGCAAATAAAGAAAAATGACTGGGAATGCTCTTCCTCTTTGTGGTTTTTCAGCACTCATTTGTGTTTTCAGCAGCGCAGCGCTAGATCTGGGCTGTGCACTGCACCATTCCTCTGCCCAAGTTACAGCATGGAAAACAGATACATAAAGAACAAAGAATCTGATTAAGAAAAGTACATTTATATTTTGACTGTGTTTTATTTTTAACATAAAACATCTTGAAAAAAGTTTTATGATTTAGCATTTATGAATGACTAGATTTTAAGGGAATTGTAATATTTTTTTAGGGTATTTCAGCTCTATGAGTTATTTCTTGTAGATTCAGATAATGACATTATAAATCTTTCTGTGGAGGCAATTACTAAGGCAGAAATGGCCTATTCCCCATTGGCTTTTAGGCTCAGCTTACTGACATATTACAAGCAGGCTTACCATGGTCATTAAAAACTGATCTGGGATTTATTGTACCTCTTTAAACTCTCAGTACTTTGAAAAGTATTGAACAGAAAGGAATACAAGGTGAAGTTACAAAGAGATCCAACGAAGCAATCAGGAGAAAAATAGGCTTAATTTATCCCAGCAAGGCCCACCAGAAGCACCACAAAAATATTTGAAATTGAGCTTTGAGTCCTTAATAGAGATCACTCGCAAGAGCTATTAATCATATCAAATGGAAACACTTTTAAGCAGAGGGTTTAGGAACATAAAGGACATCAACACCAGATTACAGGGCAGAAAACAAAGCCAAGATTTTAAGACTGCCAGTAATGACAAAATAGCTGCCCAATGCAGTAGACAAGAATGAAAAAAATTCAGCTACAGCAACTTTTCTCGCCTAGATCCCAGTCACCTGCAGTGCAAGCAGGAATTTAATCTATACCTTGTCTTAACATCAGACCTCAGATCGCTGCACTGTAGTCGGTTTTCAGGGTAATCTCTGGTGGCCAACAGTAGGGCAGGCATTTGAACAAATGCCTGAGAGCACAAATGCACCATCACCTTGTGCAAATGGAGCTAAAAGGCGGCCAGAATAAGAGAAACGTTAACTACCACTGGATTTGAGCAGGACTGGCGTACTCAATAGCAGGCAAAGGTCAGTAACAAAATTTCTGTTTCATCACCTGCCAGTTAACCTTCAGTTCTAGGTTGCCAATGACAGAGGCTACATCTTCAGAACAGCTACAGCCCCAGACAGCCTGTTCCACTGGGACATACCCTGGGGTAGAGGGTTCGGAGCATTTGGGAGATTTCCTCATGTAGTGCATACCTTCTGTTTCTTATCGCTTTTGTCCCAAGCTTAAAGCTGCCTTCATAGGAATGAGCTGCTGCTCGGGGGAGCTACTTTGTGTCTGCATTTTGTATTCTCCTACAGTCATCTCCAAGAATCCCATTCATTTTAAGAAAGGAACCCACCAAGGCTGACTGGTGTCTCAGGATGTTATACAGCTCTACAGAAGACAACCATTATCTGTACTCTGCTGTAAGTAAATAACCAAACTCCAAAATTGCCTGAAAAAACAAATACAGCTTCACTGTCTGGTTGGGGTTTTTTTAGAGCACTATCTTTGGTTTTTGTTCATAAAATTATATCACAGTTTGGTTACCTTTCCAGAAAACTGTGAGTGAGCATCAAATTTGCAATGGATAATGGTTCGGTACCTTTCTGAAAGCCACACACAGATGTTTGAAGGCTGTTACTCTAGGAACTAAGTGGCACTTTTGCCTTGTAAGTTGTCTTTTGCTTTGTCAAGATGATTCTGTCAGGCAGATAACATATTCTAATGTTGTACAGTATGTTAGGTTGGTCAACACTCATTTTAAATACATGTTTTAACATACTATTCATTTCAAGCCTGGTATCAGATTATTACAGGTAGTCAAAAAACACAGCCTTTTTGTCAAGTTCGCATTTTCCAGTGAGATTTGTCACTCTAAAATTCTCTTTACTTTTCGCCAGGAATAAACTGAACTATATTTGAAAATAATGGCTTTAATTATAATTGGCATATCTGAGCCTACAGCTAGTGCCAGTCACTTTACTAAGTGACATTACTTATGACACTGGCAAGATCAGAGTCTTTTATCACTTTTTTTTTTAATTATTAATAGGAGACAAATTTCCAACCTTCTCTAATATCTGATTATCTCTGGGTAACTGGAGGCAGGTAAAGATAGAGGATCACATCCATAACTGGGCCCCCACTAGTAATCCCTAAAAATCCATGGTATTCAGAGTGCAGAATCTGTTCAAGATGAGCAGAAATTAGAAGATTTACATTCCCTTTGACTAAAGCCACTGTCAGAAGATTGCTGTATATAAATCAGGGGTGAGAAAACCTACGCCCCAGAACTAGGCACAGCCCACGACCTCAACTCATATTTTTGGTGCGCGTTAGCATACAATCCACAAGAAGTGCCTGACAGATCTATTCATCACTGCTAAAATTAGGAATAAATATTTGCTAGTAGAAATGGCATAGTACTGCATCAGAGACCAAAGACTAGGCGGTAAGGGCTAGCAAGAGAGAGAAAGGAGAAGATTGGTAGGGGCTGACTTCCTCTGGGCTGCACCAGCCTGAGTGCAGCACCCAGATAGGCAAGATGAGGATGCAGCGTTACATTCTTCTGTTCCTCCTCTTGCTCCTCACATATTTGCTTTGTATATACAGCCCAGCTTTGGTTCACATTCAATACTTATCTAGCAAAACTAAAGAGGTTTATGTATTCATCAGGAAAGAATAGCAACAGTGCAGGCTTGTTCCAAGCTAAGCAAATTCACCTTTCACTACAGAAAAAAGGAGGCCAATAGATCCAACTGCAGAATATGGTGCCACACATGTAGAATCTGCCTCCACATACAAAGAATTTCTCTAAAATACTCTTTCCATTAAGACAAAGCTCATTCGGACCCGCTCTTCCTTCTTGGAACACACACAGCATTGATTTACACTTTAGTAGTAATAACTTCAGCTATTAGAGTGCTCTTAGTATCCCTTTTAAATTGGCTTCAGGCATTTGGGGAGTCATTGTCAGGCTATCTAGAATGTAGATAAAGGGATCCTATGGCAGAGTAATATTCTGTATAAACTCCAGTCTATGGATGATGATATATTTCCCATAACTCTGGCATCGTGAGCATTCCGATAACATGGACAAAGTGTTCCAGAATATATATTGCATCACCAGCCCCCTTATTATTCAAAACACAGGCAGAGTGAATCCCCTTCGTATTCCAGGAGATCCACAGTGAATTTTGTTGTTAGAGAAGACCTTAATCACCTGGTGATTATTTTGACTGCTAGTACAAACACTATCCTGGGCCTAAGCCTGGTGTTTGAGTGTTTGTATATGAATCTCTAAGTTCCTTTTGCACCCTTAGCTTGGTAATACTATGCTGCAGAACAACTTGTTTTTTTTTTTTTATTATTATTATTTTTTAAAATGCGTTGCCCATAAAAATCTAGAAGCATTGACTGTATCAGATGAGTCATTCTACTTGAAGACAGCATACTTTACTGAGATGTCCAACTCCTGATATTCCAGAAATGAGTGAATAGTCCTTTAACATGCTTAATTCTGCAACCAACCATGTGAGAATTATCCTGCTGATAGCTGTTGAAATATTCTGTCTGATTGGCAAGGTCAAAATGCCAGGGACTATATCAATATTAAAGTACAGATTACAGCTTCAATTTTTAAATTTACTTAAACTTAATGGTGTAAGATCAGCTGCAAAATATGACAGTGAAACCCAACTCCATTCTCTAACTTATGTACCCAAGAGTGGTTAAAATTCTGGATGGCTTCCTTCAACTGCTTTCAAATATGTATCACAAGGATTTCTTCTTAAGAAGAGCACCAGATTAACACACAAGATTATACCATGACAGCTGCTGAAGACTGACAGACTTGTACACCTTTTAAATTTTTCCTAACAATTTTTACTTGTTGCCCCAAATATTTAATCATAAGGCGTCCTACCTGAGACCTGGGTGTGGAGGTCAGCACCTACACATACACACAGAAGCAGCTTCTTTGGCACTGTGGATGCATACCGAAGTATTCCTCTCCTTTTCCAAGTGCTTCAGAGTGTTGGCTCTTCTCTGCTTGGCTTGCCTGGAGAACCTGTGGGAACAAGGTATCATGCTGCTCAGAGGTTAATTCAAGTTAATGCTTCTGCCAGTCCTTCTCACATAGAACAGCCTTGGGGAGCATAGTCTCAGAAAACTAGAAAAAAGGTCCCTCCAAGCATTGATCGCACTCTTCCATGATCAGGTGGAATCCAATACACGTTATATGAGATAATTGAGCAGCTTCGGAAGTCAAATCTCAAAGGTAAATGCTCTAAACACACAGGACAAATGAGAGACAGAAAGTACACTAATTGTGTATTCCTTTGCTTTGCCCACACACACAGTCTTCCACCATCTTCCTTCCATTGTGATGACAGTCAGCTGATATCAAGATTATATTGAAAAATTTCCATGATTATTTTTTAGTCCATGCGAGCAAGCATATTTCAAAGATGGTGAAAAATAATGAATAATTTGAGGTTTGGGAGTTACCGTTTGGAATGTCTATCTAAATGGACCTTTTTTTCCTTGGAAGTGCATATAGAGCAAAGTGAACTGAAATGTTCAAAAGTACCTTAGTGTAAACTACATAACTTATTGATTTTGATGGCATACCAAAAGAGTTCTGTCACTTAAGCAAACTTTAAAGCTCCTATTAATCTAATCTTGGGAGTATATTACAGTTCTCAAGCATCAACTCATACCTTCCCCAAGTGAACTAGATGACCTCCAGAAGTCCCTTCCAACCTAAATTATTCTAGGATTCTATAAGCATTTTGAACCATCATTTTCTGTGCTGCATCTCTGGTGTTAAGAATGCCATTTAGCATGCTCAGAAATGAACTATGCAGCAACCAAGATGTAGTTAGAAGAATGCAATTTAAAACACATTTTCTTCACAGATAATGCTATATGTGGTTTTCTCAGGAGTAACTCTCATGACCTATTCCAGTCACAACCCTTATTTATAGGTGGCGATAGAATGAATGAAACCTGCTGCTCCATAGTGGGAAATTTTTGTGATGCAATAACTGAAGCAGCCATCACAGAAAATTAGGTTTCTGTACGATTGTGCATGAAAACAACTTGAGGATTCTCTCTGTACTATGTGATTTACAGTAGAGAAAAATTTCACACTGCTACACAGAGGGCCCAGATTGAATCTTTGATGGAAGAGCAGTAATTCTGAAGGAGCGCAATGTGTTAGCCCACCATCTGACAAGAGTTGAGGTGGGAGAAAGAGCACCTCTTGAGAATTTGCCCTTTTCCAGCAGATTGGCACAAATACTACTGAATCAAATTCAGGTCCAAGCAACCCTAGTACCTGTCTCCAACATTTATATCAGAAATGGGGGGGAAATGAAAGAAACTGCAGACAGTGAATAAGGATACTCAACCTCCAGGAGCAAGTGTTCTGGGCTGTTCTTAAGACAGTAGTTACAGATGGACCTGTCACTGGTGGAATGAACCTCCCTAAACTGCTAACACAGAAAGATCAGGTGCACAAAATTTTTCATGGGAAAATGGAAGGCTCACACTCCAAAGCTAATAAGAGATTCTAACTCTGCAGGCAAGGTCCAAGGTGCGCAGGAAGAAAACCCATGGTATAAAATGAGATACAAACAACATCAGCCATAAGAAGAAATCACTATTTTAGTGAAAGGAAGTCCAAGTGAAGTTGGACTGTACTAACTTTTGAACTTGCTTCAACTCAAAAGGTAGAGAAAGCCATCAGCAGATGCCCTCAGGGTGGCCTAGGTATTTATTACCTTTTTGGGGGTGGGTTGCAGCATGAAGAGAATTTCACCACAAGGTTATTGTCCTTGATAAGAAAGGTTAGAAAATATCTGGAGAATTTAGATCTTTACAATTCATTTGCCTGCTTTGCAGTCCTTTCTACAACATCCCCTCCTATTTAAGAGACTAAAGCTTAGTAGTATTAATAATTATTCTTGAAAAATATTGAAGAATGGGTGAAATGACAAAACAGAAGTCTAAGAAATGGGAAGACCAACTAACTAGGATATCATAGAGGAATTCCTTCTAAATTTCTGGTAAATCTCTGCAACATATTATCTGTATTCTGTAATGATAACATGCTGAAGAGTTGGACATTTTGTTCTTGAAGACTGAATGTTGAACCAATTTAATTTTCTTCTACAAGGATGGAGATTTTGTGGACTGAAAGCAATAGGTGTCATTAACTTTCTGATTGCTGTAAAAGATCTTGTAAAGCTAAGGAAACTGTTCAGATAAAACAATACTAGGGTGAATAAAAAATCAGTTTCAAAACTGTTACTTAGAGTATTTAGCAAAGGTTCATGGCTAGAATGGGAGGCTGTACGAAGTGAGGCTCCACAGGGGACTGGGGTTGGTACTATTCAATATTTTCATTAGTGACCTCATTGACAGAATAGATTATGCTTATTACATCTGCAGACAGCATCAAATTGTGAGTACGCTGGAAGACAAGATCAGAATTCAAAATAATCATGACAACTCAGACATGGTCTGAAAAAACAGGATGCTGCTCAATAGGGACAAACTTTATGTTGGCAGCAGCATTCAACAGTACATGATGAAGGAATAACTAGCTAAGTAACAAGTCTATACAATAATTCAGGTATTATAGTGGATTGTGTATAGGTCCTATCAGAGTCGGACCTCTGATGTGAAAGAACAGGCAAGAACCAGACCCACATACTTCTGTTGCCTGAAGCTTTAGCTGACAGAAGAAAGACACATGCAAATACTACTAGGTTATTAAAATAACCTTTCATGTTCTGCTTGGAAATCCTTATAGGTGCAGATATACAAAGTTTAATATTTCTGCAGAGGTGCAAGGCTACTGGAGAGATGCTTTTAGTACCAAATCATGGTTTTGAATTGCTGATATGAAGGCTCTGACAGGAGGAATTTTATCTCTCTAATTCCAAACCATGGGTTGCTTTATGAAGAAGGTGACATGATCAGTTGCTTTGATGCACTTGAATGACAAGAGTTGTGTGAGCATGCATTAAGTGTCTGATACTCCATTAAGCTAGTGAGTGGCACAGAAAGTCAACTAGTAATGTCTTTTAGATAATTATAATTAAAGGACTTTGAAGTTCAAATTGTTTAATGGGCCTTGTACCAGAACAAGTCTATCTGTACTGAATCCACTGGAAAAAAATTGCCTGAAAAAAGTTTATTTATATAAAAATATGACCATAGCACTGTTGTCAAGGTCAGTAAGACTTAGGGTGACCTGCTGAGTAAGTCCTATATGTTCAAAACTAATCTGCATAAGGGGTACTTTGAGATTACGCAATAATCCCACACTTCCAGGAGTTCTCAGACAGGTTAATAACATTAGTCTGAAATCAATCTCCACACTAACCTGTGACAATATTTTGAATATTACTATATTTGCGTATCTCAGACATCTTTAACACGTCTTATTCTATTGAGATACTGGTACAACGGTTTGATACAGTTATCAGATGAGAACAGAATTCAACATTACGGCATAATATTAATGCGAAAAGACACCACCCCTTATACTAGGTGGGTGTTATCTATCTTTATCTTCTCTTTATCTGTTTTGATGTTGTCCATGCCACATTTGAAATAGATGCCTGGCTCCAATTTGCACCAAGATGAATGATAAATAACAGCACAAAACCTTATTTCACTAAATTTTCAGTAATACGATTTACTAAAATAGCTTTAGCAATTAAAATTACATAAAACCACTATCACAACCAAAAAACATGGAGGAGAAAGCATGTAGGACATAAGTAACCAGATAAAGCTGTTGCATACTATACTTTCCCTCTGACCCCAGTTCATTAGAGGAAAAGCAATGATTTAAAGTACCTAGCTAACCTCTTCCAGAGCTATAGTTTATAATCATAAATCAGGCATGTGACTACCTGGAGGCACTGGGGATTTAGCTCTGTAACACAGTGTAGCAGCAAGGAGGGAAAGAAAGTTCCTATTATTGGATCATGCAGTAGACATTGGTGCTTGAAGTTTCCACTTACACTACATTAGCTCGAGGCAGTTCATTTGCTAAAATAAAAGAAACAAAGTGTAAAATATTCACTGACTTGCTCAACAAAGCAATCAACGAAAGGGAGAAAGAAGAGAGAGAGAGGGAGGGAGGGAAGGAGCATGATTTTTTTTCCCCTGCTATCACACTGTTGATAAATACCATTAGTGTTTTAAAATAATCTCAGCCATTCTGTTAAAATTTAAAAGTATTAGTGGTATTATCAGTCTGTCTATCCATCTCCCTTTATTTTGTCTGTCTCCTGCTTCTATTTTGTGTGAAATTTCAAGAGATGAATCCCATTTTCTATTAATTCAATGGCTGTCATCTTGCATTGCATCATGTAGCCCAGATCACAACAATGAAATCTAAGGGTTTAAATTAATAATATTGCAACACATCACTTTGTGAAGCATCGCACTTATCCATATCTATGTAGCTCAGGTACCTTGCCTCCAGTGTGATGCCTTTCACTGGTAGCTATGGGTGGGATTACACCCGTACAGTTGCAAACAATTTATAATTGGTAACTGAATACTCTGACTTTGTGGTGGATAGCATTATTTTAATAGGGTGTTGAGTTTTAACAAGATGTTTTTACTTAAAAATAAAATAGTTGGGAAAAGCTTCAGGGAATACGAGATCTCTGTTCTCTGAGTGACATTTTCCACACCTACAAATATATGCTGACAGGTAACTCTATTGCATTACAATTGTCTTACATACAATGTCAGATAAAGCTACATGGAAAGTCAGCATCTTGGAGCACCTATGAATCATGAAACAGCTGATAGATTTGGTTAACTATTAGAATTTCAGATATAATTTCATTATAGCTACTAATTAACAAAAAGGAAAAGGAATTAAAAAAAAAAAAGCAGCAAGATTATGTGCAAGTAAATCATCAGAACCACTACAAACTCAGGAAGGAATAAAACATGATGCCTAAAGGAAAATAACACACGAGATCAAAAATACATCCTATCTAACGTTTACTGTTGTTATTCAGGCATGTCTCC